AGAATATTTGTGATGGAAAATATCTAAATACGAATATACTTCAGGAATTTATTTTTTAATAGGCTGTGATATGTCGGATTTTATAAAATTAATAATTACTCTCCATTCAATTACATTTTAGTTTTTTTTATAGCATAAGCTGGTAAACGAGCACAAAGTTCACCTGATGGTAAGCAATCGGCGCCGCCCATGGACACTCGAAACACCAAGTCGTTACAAGTGCGTTACCGGCCTTTTGAAAATTGGGAATTTGAGGATTGTGGAGGATTCGAGGATGCGGGAGACGGGGACTAGGGAGGGGGGTAATTGGGTCTCCGGTAACCTCACTCACACGACGAAACACAACGCAAGCGTTGTTTCACGTCGGTTTTCTGTGAGGCCGTGGTATCACTCCGGCCCAGCCGGCCCATTCGTGCCGAAGCATGGCTCTCCCACACTTGTGAAATAAAATCATACTACACCTTTGAATTGGATTTTATTTGTAGGTGTGTCGACCAAAATTGTTATATGCACTTAGTCAAGTTTTCAGGGGAGACAATAAACTGGTTTTTTACACTTACACTGACAGATTGATGGACTTATTAATAAATCAAAATTGCAGTATGGTGGCGAAATATGTATTATGAATGTACTGAGATAAAAGTGCTGCCTCGTTGGCCGAGTGGTCGCAAGTGCGACTGCTGGGCAAGGGGTCTCAGGTTTTGATGCCCGGGTCGGGCAAAGTATTACTGGGTTTTAAAAAAATCTCAGAGTCTGGAATTGTGCTAGATATATGGCAATAGGCTCAACCCTATTTCATGGGACTCATAACATAAGTAGTGAAAAGTAGGTGTTACATTATACAACGACATTAAGTGCTATAATGTGCTCCTCTGTCTATCCCTTCGGCGATAAAAGGCGTGATGTTATGTTATGTGTTCAATCATTAGTCTCTCTTCCATAATAGAACACCTACTAGTTACTATTATTACTACTTGCAGATAAGGTAAGGTATTTTTTTGGGCGAACTTATTGGGACACTTAAGAGTCTTAAGACCGCCGTACTCTGAGTATTGTACTGGTTCATATGACAAGGCTATGAATGGCCACTGCTGACCAAAGGCCTCTTCTCACACGTATAAGGTTTGAGCATTAATCAGTAATCACCACGCCTGCTCAATGCAGGTTGTACACCTACTATTGGCGATTTCACACTTATAATTAGCAATTATGAAGTCCTGGTTCCCTCACGATGTTTTCCTTCGTCGTTTGCAGTGATGTAAATAATCTTAGACAGTACATAATATATGTATAACTCGGAAAAAAATCACCTTTTTTTAAGGGGGGAAAATCATCGAATGACTGCTCCCTCCTGGGTGAGGCGGGAGGGAGTGTCAGACTCTTACTGACTAGAAACCACCCCGTTCCTTCTCCTGCACGTCGAGCCGGAGCCCCGGTTACCCGTTATGTTCTCCGCGACTCCGGATCGGCATCGGCCCTATTGGCCCCATCTATGGTGGTCTGATAAAAAAAATAAAAAATCACCTTGGTACTTGCTGTTGGAAGGTTTCGAACCCGCTTCGTTATTAGAGTTCCGAGCCACCACGACGAGTACTTAACCCTAACATTGGCAATTCTTTTTAGAACAAAATCGTTACTAAGGAAAAGTAAGTAATTATTATATTATGTCTATGACTACGACAGAAAATGACACACTGCGCAATGGTGTTGATAGCTCTTCAATAGAAAAATATGTTACAGGTTAATGTGAAACTACTGGTACAATTTTAAATTATTGTTCACTAGATATGAGATAATATCAATATACAAATGCACGTAGGTATGGTTCTCTAGTTTTTGTATAACAAAAGGAACTGTTTATGTAGCTCACCCCCTATGTAATAGGGGGTGAGCCTGAACTGTTCCAGACTTCGTGCTACTACTGATAATTTTTTTAAAACCTAGTAATTCTGGCTCGGCCCGGAAATCGAACCCGAGACCCCTTGCCTGGCAGTCGCACTTGCGACTTTTCAATCGGTCACTTTTCAACGCACTTTTCAATCAGTTAATATTCAATAGACATTATATGAATTGACTGGATAAGTCAAGGACATCGATGGATACACCTCCAGGAATCAAATGGTTTGCTATCTTTCAGAGATGAAATTATATAACGTATAATCCATAACAAATTTTGATTAACCTAATCTAGCAATCTAAATAACACTTATGTACATTTACTAACTAGCTACTGCCGGGCGGTTCCACCCGCTAGCCGGTTTCTATTCGGTAAGCACAATGTAATTTTTTATACCCTATACAAGCGTATAGCGCGAGGAAGCCCTCGATACACGATTTATCCGACACAAAAATAATTTATTCATATAGCCCGGATCAATAGTTCCGGAGATTAGTGCGTTTAAACAAACAGTAGATTCATAGCGCAAAAATGTGTGTATAAAAACAATAAAAATGTTTCATAAAGTTTTATTTTATTCGCGTATCTATTGTTCTACGTCTAAAAAACTGCCCACGCAAACTCGTAACACACTTTCATTAACGCGAGCAGAAACCTTGAGAGACATTGGAATGTCCAACTACGCTATTCGTGACATAATATCGTCTATTTTCATTCGAACCGCATCCGTTCACTGTTGACTCTATGGTACGTATTTATAATCTGTAAATCAGTTCCCGCGCATCTTTGACAGCTCCCCGGAAAAACAAAGATGACGTCGGAAAGAGCGTTTCGAGAAACGAAATGTTATTTTTAAAATTATTTATTGTAGCATTTATAGAGCTTTTAATTTTGTTATTTTCAGGCGATTCGTAAGCTTGATATAGCACCTAATTTTAAATCAGACTATATCATTGGTTTTTTTATACTTTATAGGTCGATGTTTGACCACCATCTCGCCTGATGGTAAGCGATGATGTGGCCGACGATGGAGCACGCCTAATGAGCAACCTGTTCACTCGGGACTTGAAGACACCCAAGTCATATTTGACGGGAAACACAGCCTCTGGCAAGGAATTCCATTCCTTAGCGGTTCGCATGAGGAAGCTTGACGCGAAACGCTTTGTGCGAATGGGTGGAATGTCCACCATATAAGGGTGGGGCCCCGCCGTTCTTCTGGTGGTACAGTAGTCAAATGGACTAGGAGGAATAAGTTTGTTCAATTCCCACGCACACTCACCGAAATGTATCCGATAGAAGACCGAAAGGCTTGCTACTTTGCGCCTGTGTTCGTTGGTTGGTTGAGTATGTAATGGAAAAGTCGGGATCAATCTACAAATTATTATTTCAAGTTTGGGTGTTCGGGTCAATCACAGATGAAATAATATTATATGAGCTAAAGGTTAAGTCATTAAAAAAA